GGAGATCGAGACCATCCTGGCTAACTCGGTGAAACCTCGTCTCTACTAAAAATACAAAAGTTAGCCAGGCCTGGTGGCGCTTGCCTGTAGTCCCAGCTACTCAGGAGGCTGAGGTAGGAGAATCACTTGAACCCAGGAGGCGGAGGTTGCAGTGGGCCGAGATCGTGCCACTGTGCTCCAGCTTGGGCAACAGAGTGAGACTCCGGCCGAGTGCGGTGGCTCACACCAGTAATCCCAGCACTTTGGGAGGCTGAGGCTGGTGGATCGCTTGAGGCCAAGGGTTCGAGATCAGCTTGGGCAACATGCCAAAACCCTGTCTCTACAAAAAAAAATACAAAAAAATTAGCCAGGCATGGTGGTGCGCACCAATAGTTCCAGCTACTGGGGAGGCTGAGCTGAGAGGATCATCTGAGCCCAGGAGGTTGAGGCTGCAGCAAGCTGTGATCACGCCACTGCACTCCAGCCTTGGTGTCAGACTGAGACCTTGTCTCAAAAATTTCAAAACCAAAAACACCAAAAAAAAAATTTTCTCCACAAGCACCTCAAACCTGAAACTTCCCAATCTTAAACTCTTGATCTTCCTCCCAGAATATGTTCCATCTCAAATGTTCTGCTCGAAGTAAACAGTAACTCCAGCCATCAGTACTAATTGTTATGTTTTTGTTTTTGTTTTTTTGAGACAGAGTCTCGCTCTGTCTCCCAGGCTGGAGTGCAGTGGCACAATCTCGGCTCACTGCAAGCTCCGCCTCCCGGGTTCATGCCATTCTCCTGCCTCAGCCTCCCGAGTAGCTGGGACTACTGGCGCACGCCGCCACGCCCAGCTAATTTTTTGTATTTTTAGTAGAGACGGGGTTTCACCATGTTAGCCAGGATGGTCTCGAACTCCTGACCTCGTGATCCGCCCACCTCAGCCTCCCAAAGTGCTGGATTACAGACGTGAGCCACCGCGCCCAGCCTTGTTTTGTTTTGAGACAGGGCCTGGCTCTATCACCCAGGCTGGAGTGCAGTGGCACAAATTCAGCTCACTGTAACCTCTGCCTCAGGAGTTCAAGTCATCTTCCCACCTCAGCCTTCCGAGTAGCTGGGACTACAGGCGCACGCCACCATGTATTCTTTTTTTTTTTGTAACGACGAAATCTTGCTATGTTGCCCAGGCTGGTCTCGAACTCCTGGACTCAAGTGATCTGCCCACTTCAGCCTCCCAAAATGCTGGGATTACAGGTGTGATCCACCATACCTGACCCTAATCCATATTTCAATGTCCATCTGCCTCCTCTATAGACTGCAGGCTCCATGAGGAGGGTGCACCTGTTATTCACAGTTGCATCCTCATTGCCTAGGGCAGTGCCTGATACATCATCAGTATACTGTATATATACATCAGTGTATATATGTACAACAGTGATGTATACTGACATATACATCAGTAAATATCAACAGAATGAGTTAAAACAGGAAAGCTTATTAGCACAGAAACCAAAGCAGAGGCAGCAGCACACATGCCCTCTTGAGATTGACAAAATTGTGCTGTAGTCCTCGGCTGCTGGTTGTTAAGTGACTTTAGGGAAGTCACCGTGGCCATCTGCAGATTGAGGAAATTGACGTAATTATCTCTGAGGTCCCTCCCAAATTCTCATGTGTAGTGGACATCTATTATCTATTGCTTATATGTCTCTGAATTGGCAGGTATGCATAAATAGAATTTGCCCCTAATTACGAATGTGATTGTGTTGTGTATATTTTCTTTAAAAAAAATTGGGCTTTTGTTTCTCATATTGAGAACTCTGTTACGCCATTGTTGAATTTCTCGCAGATTTCCCCCCACCCACCTTCAAACTCTACTTCCTTAGACAGATTTGGCAATAGCTTTGTAAGTGATATGGACATAATTGCCTACAATAATGAAAACCTACAGGATTCTTTTTTCATTTTCCCTTTGGCATGTTTACTATTCCCTGCCCCACCAGGCAGGGAATTCTGTGTGAGTGTGTGCACACCTTACAAAGACAACTACTATGTTACTAACATATTCGATTTGGAAAAAACAATTGTAGGCTGGGCTCGGTGGCTGACGTCGGTAATCCCAGCACTTTTGGAGGCTGAGGTGGGCGGATCACGAGGTCAGGAGTTCAAGACCAACCTGGCCAACATGAAACCCCATCTCTACTAAAAATGCAAAAATTAGCCAGGCGTGGTGGCACGCTCCTGTAATCCCAGCTACTCGGGAGGCTGAGACAGGAGATTCGCTTGAACCCAGGAGGCAGAGGGTGTAGTGAGCTGAGACTGTGCCATTGCACTCCAGTTCTGGGTGACAGAGCAAGACCCCATCTCGGGGGAAAAAAAAAGAAAAAGAAAAAACAATTGTTTTTGAAAAACGATTTGTAATGTCTTTCACAGAGACTAAATGAAGGGTATGTTTTGATACTTTTTAAAAAATAATTTTGTCTTTTTAGATTCCGATTCATGTGCACATGAATGTACCCATGTACATGGTTATATCTCATGATGCTGCAGTTTGGGGTACAACTGATCCCATCACCCAGGGTACAGTACCCAATAGGTAGTTTTTCAACCCTTCCCACCTCTAGTAATCCCCCGTGTCTACTGTTCCCATCTTTATGTTCATGAGTACCCAATGTTTAGCTCCTACTTATAAGTGAGAACATGCAGTATTTGGTTTTCTGTTCCTGCATTAATCCACTTAGGATAAAAGCCTCTAGCTGCATCCATGTTGCTGCAAAGGACATGATTTCTTCTTTCTTTTGTTTTCTTTTCTTTTGCCTTGCCTCCCCTCCCGTCCCCTCCCATCCCCTCCCGTCCCCTCTCTCCCCCTCCCTTCCCTCCCTCCCCCCTTCTTTTCTTTCTTTCCTTCTTTCTTCCTTCCTTCCCTTTCTTCCCTTCCCTCCCTCCCGTCTTTCTTTCTCTCTTTCTTTTCTTTCTTTGTTCTTTCTTTCTCTTCCTTCCTTTCTTTCCTTTCCCTCCCTCCCTCTTTCTTTCTTTCTTTTCTGCATCCATGTTGCTGCAGAGGACATGATTTCTTCTTTTTACTCTTTCTTTTCTTTTTTTCTTTCCTTCCCTTCCTTCCTTTTCTTTTCTTTCTTTTACTTCCTTTTCTCCTTTCATCTTTCTTTCTTCTTTTTTCTTGAGTCAAAGTCTTGCTGTGTTGCCCAGGGTGGAGTGCAGTGAGTGGTGTGATTTTGGCTCACTGCAACCTCCGCCTCCCGTGTTCAAGCAATTATCCTGCCTCAGCCTCCCCCAGTAGCTGGGATTACAGGCGCGCGCCACCACACCTGGCTAATGTTTGTATTTTTAGTAGAGACGGGGTTTCACCATATTGGCCAGGCTCATCTCAAACTCCTGACCTCAAGTGATCTGCCCACCTTGGCCTCTCACAGTGTTAGGATTACAGGTGTGAGCCTCATCTCGTTCTTTCTTATGGCTGCGTGTTTTTATACTTTCAAATTACAAGGACTCAGTGAAGGCTATTCGTTGCCTTGAACTTCCCAAAGTATTTCCATAATCAGTCGGGTTCTCAGTAAGAATCCGAGACTTGCAGGGAAAATGCTGTCAGTACCCCCATTTAACAGATGTGGAAACTGAGGCCTAGACCTACATTCTTGTCCCTTTACAGACAAAGTCCCTGGAGGAGGGGGTTCATCTAGAGGCTCGTACAGATGTACTGGAATGTAAAGTTTTGGCTGCCTGGGTTCATACCTAAACTCTGCAGCCTCAGATCTCTTTCCACTGCTAGAAGATGGGGAGAAGGCTGGGTGCTGTAGCTCACGCTTGTAATCTCAGCATTTTGGGAGGCTGAGGCGGGCACATCACCTGAGGTCAGGAGTTTGAGAGCAGCCTGGCCGACATGGTGAAACCTCGTCTCTACTAAAAATACAAAAAAAAAAAAAAAAAAAAAAAGCCAGGCAGGGTGGCGGGCACTGTAATCCCAGCTACTCCAGAGGCTGAGGCAAGAGAATTGCCTGAACCCAGGAGGCAGAGGTTGCAGTGAGCCGAGATCATGCCACTGCACTGCAGCCTGGGCGATAGAGTGAGACCCTGTCTCCAAAAAAATAAAAAAGAAGGCTGGGCGCAGTGACTCACGCCTGTAATCCCAGCACTTTGGGAAGCAGAGGCGGACGGATCACCTGAGGTCAGGAGTTCGAGATCAGCCAGGACAATACGGTGAAACCCCGTCTCTATTAAAAATACAAAATTAGCCAGGCGTGGTGGCACATGCCTGTAGTCCCAGCTACTCGGGAGGCTGAGGCAGGAGAATCGCTTGAATCTGGGAGGCGGAGGATGCAGCTAGCCAGCTAGCCGAGATCGTGTCATTGCACTCCAGCCTGGGCAACAAGAATAAATCGAAAGAAAAAGAAAAAGAAAAAGAAAAAGAAAAAGAAAGAAAAAAGAAAGAAGAAAGAAAGAAAAAATGGAAAGAATGTTAGCACTTAATTTCCCAGCATTGTGAGACTTAACATATGTCAGCCTGGGCAGCATAGGGAGACCCCACCTCTACCAAAAATTTAAAAATTAGCCGGGCATGGTGGCTGGGGCATGCCTGTGGTCCCAGGTACTAGGGAAGCTGAGGCAGGAAGATCACTTGAGCCCAGGAGATTGAGGTGGCAGTGACCTACCATCACGTCACTGTACTCCAATTAAAAAATAAGTGTGGGGCCAGGCGCGGTGGCTCACGCCTGTAATCCCAGCACTTTGGGAGGCCGAGACAGACGGATCACGACGTCAGGAGATGGAGACCATCCTGGCTAACACGGTGAAACCCCGTCTCTACTAAAAATACAAAAAATTAGCCGGGTGTGGTGGCACACGCCTGTAGTCCCAGCTACTTGGGAGGCTGAGGCAGAAGAATCGCTTGAACCCGGAAGGCGGAGGTTGTAGTGAGTAGAGATCGCACTCCAGCCTGGGAGACATACTCCTTCTCAAAAAAAAAGTGTGGAACTCAATAAATATGAGGTGTTATTACAGTGGCAAGCCCTGAAAGGGGGTCTACAAAAGCCCAATGGGCGAGGCTGAGGAAATGCCTGGGCACGACCCTTCTCATGGCATTCCCGGGGCGCCCGCATAAGCCCGTACCCACTCACGCTCGGGGACTTTCTCGGAATCGCGCTTCTTCTTCGAGCCGCCTCGAGGCGCGCCCCGTCCAGGTCTCTTTAGCTCCGCCCCCTGATGAGGGGGCGTGGCCTCCTCAGGGCCGGGGCGTGGCCCAACCGGGAAATGGGCGTCGAACTCCCCTTCCCAGTCTGGAGCCACCCAATCAAGGCGGGGCGGGAGACCGATCACGTGACCCGCAAGCGGTCTCACCCTCCTCATGTGCCAGTACCACCTCCTCCAGTCCCAGAGGGGGGATGTCTTACTCCTTTCCAGGAAGCAAACCCTTTATTTGAGTACGGTTTGCGTCCACATAGCGTGAGGGTGAGATCTTTGGGAGCCACTGGAACCGTCTTTGCCCCCTCGGTGGGGTTTTGTCTCCTGGCTTCCCCTAAGTGCGAGGCAGTTGGTCTCGCCCAGCCGGGTCTTGGGCGCGGCGGCGGCAGCCGCGTCACTGGCGGGCGGGATCCCTCCGCTCTGGGGAGGCAGCGCTGGCGGCGGGGTTGGGGCCACTGAGGAAATCCATCCGCGCCGCCGCCGCCGCCGCCGCCGCCTCCGCCGCGGAGGAAGACAGCGCCGCCCGCGCGCCGCCAGCGACCCCGCCGCAGAGTCCCACCGCCACAGGTACCTCCGCTGGCAAAAGGAGTCCTCGCGCCCCCCAGCCCGAATTTCCCGCAGGGGAACCTCTCTTCCTTCGGTCTTCCCGGGCTGGCCTCCTGGGAGCGGACGTAACTCCCCAGACCTCCCCTCCCTTCCTATCTGGCCCCGTCGCTCCCAAACCCGGAAGGGGAACCGGGGGGACCCTCGCCCCCCACGGTGCGTGCACTTCCCCGCACCATCAGCGAAGTTTTTGCCCGACCCCAGACCCCAGCCCAGCCCCGACTGCCTCTTGCTCCCTTGGAAGTTGGGGGGCTAAATTCAGGGCTTCCTCTAGGCCCCGCCCCGCCCCCTTTCCCCACCGCCACCCTCCCGCCTGCCCCCGGGGAGCACCCCTCGTGTCCTCCACTGTCGCACCCCTGCCGGCCCTCGCCTTGCACAACCCCCAAATCGGGGAGAAGCAGGCAAGGCCGCGCGCCACCCTTCCTTTAGTCTCCACCCTACCCCCGATTTGGGTTCTGCTCGTGGTTTCTGGCCCCACTCCCCGAAACTGGAGCCCTCGGCGCCCTATTCCCTTTACAGATCCCCACCCGAAGCCCAGCTCCCAGGCACCCGCCCCCCGCCCAGCTTTCTTTTGGGCAAAATGGAGGTCGTGGGGGCTGGAGGGCCAGGCCCACTGCGCTTCGCAGCGCCGCACCAGCCCGCGCCTTCCAGCTGCCAGATCCAGGGACCCTCCCGTCACCTCTCCTGGGCCCCGCCAGACCTGCGGAGGCGGTGGCACCCCCATTTATCTATGAGACCCTGGCTGCTATATCCCTAGAATCTGGGGGCTGCTGAGGGCCCTGCGGGGTGATGGGGACCGAGGGCTGAGAGCGTCGCCCCCGCCCCCAGTTTCTTCCTCCAGCCCTGCTTCCTTCTGCCCTGGGCCTCCGGCGGTGCCGCCAGGCCTGGGCTGCTAGTAGCTGGAAGAGGCTTTGTGCGGGCCTGGGGGTTGGGTGGAGTAAGGAGTTCTGCCTGCGCCCCCCACACCCCGATTTTGAGGGTCACCCCCTGGCACTGGCGTAGAAAGCTGAACTTACAAGGAGGGGAAATGTCAGTGGGGAATAGGAACGCCCTGTGCCTGGGGGAAGTGGGAGCTGGGTGGGGGACGCCTGGGTCGGCCGAGTGCAGTGTGTACGGCCGGATCGCACAGGTGTCCCGCGGGTGGGGAAGGACTCAGGCGCCCGGAGCGGAGCCAGCCAAGCCTCTGGGGCCCGGGCGCGAGCCCGCTGGCTGGGCCCCCCAGGTGTCCAGGGCGCCGGGGCCGGGCCGCCTGGGGCCTCCTGCCCGCGCCTGGGAGAGAGCAGCTCCGCGCCTCGGGGCCGGGGACCTCGTTGCGGAGCCGTAATTACTCGAGAGCGGCTCCCACGGGCTTTCTGCGGGCGCGGCGGGGCGGGCGGTCTCTGCGCTGGAGGGAAGCAGCGGCTCGGGGCTGCCTTCCCCGCCGTTGTCACCCCCACCCGCGGCGGAAGGCTAATGGGGCGCAGCCGGACCAGGGATTATCCGGGGTGAGCTGTCCAGAACCTATTAGCTCCCAATCGGCTTTTCCCAAATCCTGTAAACAGCCACCCGGGCCGGTTCTGGGGAGGGGCGGGAGCCTGGGTCGGGCGGGGGCGATGGGGCCGGGGGTGGGGTCACCCACCCTACAGGTCTCAGCCGTGGATGCGGTTGCCTTGGCAACGGGGCTAGGGTGGGGGCATTTCACCAATGAGGTGCTCTCGGTCCGGGTGACGGTTGCCTAGGCAACCCCACGAACAGCCCAGCTTCCCCCTCTGGTCGCTCCCCCCCCACCCGCCACCGTCGAAGCTGGGGGTGTGTGTGGAGGGTGTGCGCCTTGTGGGGTGAATTTCAAGAGGCACCTCCCCTTTTAAAATTAGGTGCTTGGAGGGCGGTGCCGGTGCGGGCTGGGGCAGACGCCAGGTCTGTTTTCGAAGGGACACCCCCCCCCCCCCCCCCGAGTTCCTGCCGCGGGTGTCCCGCCCGGGCTGTGTCCGAGGGAGGGGTTTCCCCTGCGCTTCCTCTTGCACTTCCCGCTCCGTTTCCGGGGGGCGGGAGGAAGATTGGGGAAGTCGGCTCTTACTCGGCGACGTCTCCGTTGCCGGAGACCCTGGTTGTGCCGCCGCCCCTCCCCCCTCCCCTTGCTTACCCCTTCCGGGCCGTGCTGCAACCCCGCCTTTCCCCCCACTTCCCCGGCGGCCTCGGGCCTGACGTCAGCCCTGCATCCCCCAGGCCTCGGGCCAGCGGCCAGGAGCTGCCTCCCCCAGCCCCCGTCCCGCGGCCCCCAGCCGCCCCCAACCCCGCCCCACGGGCCCGGCGCCATGAGTGAGCTGGAGCAACTGAGACAGGAGGCCGAGCAGCTCCGGAACCAGATCCGGGTGAGGGCCTGGTGCGGTATGGGCCTGGTGCGGTATGGGCCGGGAGGTGTGTACACCTCCCGGTGCCCTGGACCGGGCTGGGTGAGGGTGTTGGTGGGGGAAGGGGGAAGGGGGAGGGAGGGCTCCTTAGTGGCTCAGAATCTGATTTTGTCCACTCCTGTCTTCTCGCCCTCTCCTACCCGTTCTACCTTCTCTTGCATCTCTCTGGCTCTGCCATTCCCTATAGGATGCCCGAAAAGCATGTGGGGACTCAACACTGACCCAGGTGAGGGCACTCGGTGGTCAGGAGGTGACTGGGGTTGGAGGGGCAAGGATCGGAGGCTGCTGCTTACTGCAGTCCTGCTACCTGGGCCTCCCCGAGCCCATTCTGTCTCTACCTCCAGATCACAGCTGGGCTGGACCCAGTGGGGAGAATCCAGATGAGGACCCGGAGGACCCTCCGTGGGCACCTGGCAAAGATCTATGCCATGCACTGGGGGACCGACTCAAGGTGTGTGTGTGTGCGGGCTGGCGCTGTGGGCCGACTTTCTAGCAGGCTGTGGGAGCAGCCTCTGATCTGGTGGGGTGAGTAGGCCACCAGAATACCCAGAGTATGTCTGGAAATAAGATGACTCCCAGACATGCCCGCCAGACCTGGACAGGCAGGACCATGCTGGTGAGAACTTGTGGGCTGCAGCTGGAGACTGTCTCTCAGGTGGCTCATACCTGTAATCCCAGCATGTGGTGAGGCCAGGGCAGGATCACTTGAGCTCAGGAGTTTTGAGACCAGCCTGGGCAACATAGTGAGACCCTGTCTCTACTAAAAATTGAAAAATGAGCCGGGTGTGGTGCTTGCCTTGTAGTCCCAGCTATGTGGGGGAGGCTGAGGTGGGAGGATCACTTGAGCCTGGGAATTCCAGGCTGCAGTGAGCTGTGATGGTGCCACTGCACTCCAGCCTGGACAACAGAGACCCTACCTTCTCCTACCCAGTGGGAAGGGGGTGTGTCTTGCTTTCATGCCATCCTTCTGCTCTCCCTGCACCGTTCCCCACCAGGCTGCTGGTCAGCGCCTCCCAGGATGGGAAGCTCATCATCTGGGACAGCTACACCACCAACAAGGTAGGGTGGCACGGGCTGGGGGGTGGGGCAGGGTCACAGGGCCCTGACTGGCTCTGACCCTGGCGCTGCCCCTGCTCCACAGGTTCACGCCATCCCGCTGCGCTCCTCCTGGGTCATGACCTGTGCCTATGCGCCCTCAGGGAACTTTGTGGCCTGTGGGGGGCTGGACAACATCTGCTCCATCTACAGCCTCAAGACCCGCGAGGGCAACGTCAGGGTCAGCCGGGAGCTGCCTGGCCACACTGGTGAGGGGCCTGGCCCGGCTAGCACCCTTTTTGGGGTCGGGAGGTGCACTGCCCTCCGTGTGGAGACCTGGCTGACCAGCTCCTTCCCCAGGGTACCTGTCGTGCTGCCGCTTCCTGGATGACAACCAAATCATCACCAGCTCTGGGGATACCACCTGGTGAGGCTCTGCCAGGGCTGAACAGTCTGGGCGAACTCACACTTCCTGCCTCAGGGGCCACTGTCCCAGTGCTCAGCACGCAGTGTGCACCGTAGTCTCCCTCTCCTGGTGGGCACTAAGGGGTCAGGGAGGGATGCATCCCCTCCCCACCTAAGGCTCTGACAAGAACCTCCCTGAACCCTTTCACAGGGTTGGGCTCACGTGGTGGGGCGGGGAAGGCAGGGACTCTGTTCTTTGCCCCGTCTCTTATCTTTTCCTTCTTCCTGTCACCTCTCCAGTGCCCTGTGGGACATTGAGACAGGCCAGCAAACAGTGGGTTTTGCTGGACACAGTGGGGATGTGATGTCCCTGTCCCTGGCCCCCGATGGCCGCACGTTTGTGTCAGGCGCCTGTGATGCCTCTATCAAGTTGTGGGATGTACGGGATTCCATGTGCCGACAGACCTTCATCGGCCACGAATCTGACATCAACGCGGTGGCTGTGAGTTCTGGGGCGAGTTGGGCCAGGTCCTCTCTACCAGGCTCCTGGCCCTGCCCCTCGCCCTCACCCCATCCCGGTCCCGTGTCCTGCAGTTCTTCCCCAACGGCTATGCCTTCACCACCGGCTCTGATGACGCCACGTGCCGCCTCTTCGACCTGCGGGCCGATCAGGAGCTCCTCATGTACTCCCATGACAACATCATCTGTGGCATCACCTCTGTTGCCTTCTCGCGCAGCGGCCGGCTGCTGCTCGCTGGCTACGACGACTTCAACTGCAACATCTGGGATGCCATGAAGGGCGACCGTGCAGGTGAGAGCTGGGGGCCCAGGCTGGGCGGGTGGGGACCTGGAGCCTAGGCCAAATGAGTTCTGACTTCTCCCTTCCTCACAGGGGTCCTCGCTGGCCACGACAACCGTGTGAGCTGCCTTGGGGTCACCGACGATGGCATGGCTGTGGCCACTGGCTCCTGGGACTCCTTCCTCAAGATCTGGAACTAACGGCCCCACCCCTGCTGGGCCCAGGCCGGGAGGGGCCCTGCCCATGCCCACACTACAGGCCAGGGCTGAGGGGCTGGGCACACTCCCAGCCCCCTTCCCTGGGCCACGGGGCCTTGGGTCCCTGCCCTCCCACCCAGGTTTGGTTCCTCCCGGGGCCCCCACTGTGGAGATAAAAAGGGGATGGAATGGGGGAAAAGGAGGGGCAGGAGGCCCTCATCCTTCTGCTGCCCTGGGGTTGGGGCCTCACCCCTCTGGAGGGCCAGAGGCAGGAGGTGGAAACCCCAGGGGCTGGCTTTTTTAAAACTGGTTTTATTTTAATTTTTATTATATTTTCAGTTTTTCCATAAAGGAGCCAATTCCAACTCTGTACCTGGTCTCTGCCCTTGCTGTGTCCTTGTTTCTGAACTTTGCTGCCTGAGGGCTGCTGGGGGTGTGGGTGGCCGGGAGGGTATGGGGCCCACCAGGCAGCTGGGGCTGGGGACGGGGTCTGCACTCTCCCTCAGAGCAAAGCCGAAACCCCAGCCCAAAGCCGTCCATCCAGAGGGACGGACGTTGTTGGATAAGCAGCCCCCCGCCGTGGTCTCCCCCATCAGGCTGCTGACCAGAGCCAGCCTGACCAGACGGACCCTGCTTGGAGCTCCTAGTTCCCAACTCTGCGCAGAGCCACTCATCCCCATGGCTCTCCCCAGATAACGAGCAGTGGGGGCGGAACAGGAGAACACACACCAAGTTTTATTGGGAGAAGGGAGTATTTACAGGAGCAGGTAAAGAGGGAAGTCACACAGGGTGGAGAGGGGGTGGGGAGATTGTGGGTACAAGGTAGACAGGGAACACAGCGACCCCTGCACCCACCCCAACCCCAGGAAGGGCAGGGGAGCAGCTAGGGCCCAGGAAGACCGGGGCCGGGGGAAGGACAGCAACAGGGTCTGAGTCCCTGGGCAGGGGGGCTCAGGGGCTTGTAAACATTGACCACTCTCAGAAAGGGATGGGGGTGGGAGAGGGCTCCCCCTATACTTCCTCACAGGGTTAAGGCCTCTCCAGGCTCATGGGCCCCCTAAATCCAAAGTCTCTTTAGCTGGGGAGAAGGGGCAGGAAGAGACAGGAAGAGTGTCCCCCTTCCCCTGCATTGGCTGCAGCAGGGGTGGGGGGTTACATTCAGTCACAACAGGAGTCTCCCCCACACCTGGCGAGAGGGAAGGGGAGCTGGGGGCCAGCAGCAGCAAACACTCCCCCCGGCCCGTCACCCCTTATTGCTTTAGAGAGAATATTGTCTTTTCAGGGACGCTAACACTGTGGGAACCAGGGAGAAGCAGGTGGGGGCCCCCCACCCCGAGGCCAGCTTGATCCCCCAACACTGACCTAGTTGCCACTTTGGTGCAAAAAAAAAAAAAAAAAAAAAAAACCTAACAACAAAAAACCAAACACCATCTTTCTGGGGCTAGATGGGGAAAGAAAGGGGCCACTCCCCACGTCCCCAGGGCAGGAGGGAGAAATACATTCATGGAGGGAGGCAGTGGCGGAGCCTTGCCCTAATACTGCACTCTGAGCAATGAGGTCAATGGGAGGAGCTGGATGAGAAACCCAAAAGACAAAACTGTTACAAAACCCAAAATGGGTGGAGACGAACGCAAGTAGGGGACTGGGAATAAGAAGTGGGTGAGCAATAGAAGGGGCAGTCTCCCCTAACCCAGGAGCCGCACGCTTCTCTTCACCCCAACCTTACCCAACGGTAAAAAGCGCATCATATCAGACCCGGGAGATCTCCTGCTCCTCTCCCATTTGGTCGGCGGAGGGGTCAGGTGCAGAGCTGGGTGGTCCATACCTCACAAGCTGGCTGCAGGCTGGGGCCCCAGGTGGCAGCCCCTCCACTGCAACCCTAAGCGCAAAGCCACCCACTCCTTGCCTTTGAGGCCCCTCCTCCTGCCCCCTTCACGGGAGAAACAGCTCAGCCTTCTCTCTGCAGCCTCCGGAGCAATCATCCACCCCCGCTGCTCACAGAGGTGAGGCAGGAGCCAGGCAGGGGTGAGGTGGGGGCTTGCGGCCCAAAGAATACATTCACGTGGCAAGGCAGAGAGCTGGGGCTTTCAGGTTCAAACCCAGGGTGTCCCCCAAAATGGCAGCGGTGGGGGACGCCCCTCACCAGGGCCAGAGTCAGAGTCCTGCTGCCCCACCCTGCCAGCCAGAGAGGTTGGCACGGCCTGGCCCCTCCCATCTACTCGGCCAGCACAGGATGGCAGCCAGAGAGCTGGGGCAGCTCTTCCAATTTGTGCAACTGTCCCCCAAAGCAGCGAAGCCAAGGGGCTACTTTGGCCCCACCCCGGACACCTCAGCCAGCCCTGGCGAAAGGAGCTGCTCACAGCGGGTCCAGTGGGCGGGGCTCAGACAGGCCTCCTGTGCAAACTGCTGGCCCTCAGCCTCCAGTTACCCCATGGCCCACCTTCCGGGGGGTAAGTGTGGCCTTGGGGGCCAGGCAGGACAAGTCCACGGGGCCTGTGTCCCCACTGCCCCAAAATAACAGTGTGTTTTTTCTTTCAGCCTCCTAACCACTTTTTTTTCATTTTTCATCTTTTTTCTTAAAAAAACAAAACACAAAAATCCTCTGTGGACCTTCCATCGTCACACCCACTATCCTCACAGCGGGAAGGGGTGTTTAGAGTCTAGTTTTTAACAATATTTTTGCCTCTCCTAACTTTTCTTCAAAGTCGTTTAAAATTAAAAAAAAGTAATAAAAAGAAAACCCCCTCCCCCAGTCTGTAAAGTGCCTCGTGGTGGGTGAGTTAAGGTGCATCGTGTGTTTGTAACAAGTGCTGGGGACCCCGCCCCTGCCTCCTCCTCTGCTCCCTGCGGGGAGCTGCAGGCTGGGACCCTCGGTCCATGCCGCCGCAGCCGCCCTGGCCTACAGCCCAGGGGCTGGGGGTCCGGGCTGGTCAGTAGTCATCCACGCTCTCGATCTCACCAGAAGATCCGTGCAGGGAGTACCCTGAAGCCGGGGAAAAGCTGGGTCTGAGCTCTCTCCTGGGCTCCTCCTGCCCTGTGCCAAGGAAGTCCCGCTCCTGCCCCAGCCCAGCTCACCCAGGATGCTGGGGTCTGAGTGCAGCATCAGTGCCCGCCTCTTGGCCTTGCTGCCCTCCCCGGGGCCGAGTTTGGTGCTGTGGTTGGCCTGGAAGGCCGTCTGCAGGGAGGCGCTGCTCAGCCACGCCTCCTAAGGCAACGGAGAGGAGGGTGAAGGTCAAGAAGCGCCAGGCAAGCCCACCCCAGCTACTGGTGCTGGGTGCCTCACCTGCTGCTGCTGCCGCTGTTGGCTGGCTTTCTGCTTGGCCCTCCGCTCCAGGAATTGTTTGGCAAATTCTTTGGCTTCCAGCGTGTCCCCCAGGCAGGAACGGATATAATCGTGGACATCATAGGGGGATTCCACCTCCTTGAGGATCGCTACAGCCATGGGCACTGCAGGATGAGCGAGGGCTGTCAGGGCCCCCTGGCCAGGTCTGGAGCCCCAGGCCCCGCCCACTTCCTGGAAGCCGCTCACGCACCGTCCAGGCTGCCTGTGGCGCTCAGTGTGTGCAGCATCTGCTCACACCACTGGGTGAAGCCATCCTGGGGCCTGGGGATGCCCTGCAGCAGCTTCAGCAGCTTCTCTTCTTCCTCTGTCTTTTTGCGAATGGGCCGACCTGATAGGTGGCTGTACGAGTCACTGAAGGGGGTGGGTGAGTCAGGGTCGGAAATCAGCTGGCGGGGGGCAGGAGAGTCTGCCACCTTCCCTCCCAGGGCCACCCCAAGCCTCCAGGTGCCACGCCCACCTGAGAGATGGGCTGCTCCGGCTGTTCTTCAGGCCGAGGCCGCGGACCAGGCTCCCGCCGCTCTTGGGGGTGTCCTCCCAGAGCCCCAGACTGCTGCTGCCGCCCCCACTCTTGTCTGGCCCGCCCCACAGCGGCCCAGCCTCAGACACCCACTGGTTCAGGGGGGCAGTGCCCAGGCCCCCAAGCTGCTACAGATGGCAGAAGATCAGAGTGGCTCAAACAAAGGCACCCCAGAAAAGCAGACAGGGAGGCTTGTTTAGGTGGCAAAGGGACAGGGGTGAGGCGAGGGCCACAAGAGCTGTTGCCATCACAGGAGGGGCTGGGGTTTGGGCTGCACAAGTCTGGGCTTAGTGATCCCCCTCCCTATGCCACCCTGGAAACCGCTTGGGGGGGTCCTGGGAGGTTCCTGGCCTGCTCACCACTCGGTGGTTGGGGGCCTGGGCCCGAGCTGGCTCCCGAGGTGGGGGCTGTTTGTGCAGCTGCCGCTCGCCCTCCAGCTGCAACTCCAGGAGTGTCTTCATGGACAGCCCCTGCTTGGCCAGGCCAGCCCAGAGTGGGGGCGGGGAGCTGGGCGCGGGGGGCACGGGGACTGCCTGCTGCTGCTGCTGTAGCAACTTCAGCAACAGCTCCTGCTGCCGCACCTAAGAGGGGGACACAGTGAGGGGACCTGACGAGGGCTCTCTCCCCAGCCAGCTGAGGCTCGGGAGCACCTACCTGCTTGCGCCTAAACAGCTCTTCCTCCTCTTGCCGCCGCTTCTGCTCCTCCTGCTGCTGCTGGCGGCGCTTCTCCTCCCGGCGCTTGCGTTCCTCTTCCTCCCGCTTCGCCCTGAGCTCCACTTCTCTGCGCTCCTGGAACTGAGACCAGTGGCTGATCAGAGGAGAGCTGCAGGGGACAGCTTGGGGCCTGCCTTGGTCCACCCTTTCATTCCCAGGGCCTCAGCCCCAGGATGCCTACTCACTTTATGTTGCAGCTGGAGTTGTTCTAGAATTGGACCCTGAGTCGAAGAGTTAATTGGTATGTCCCAAAGACTGGCCTCACCACCTGCAGGGGGCAGGGGGCAGAAGCAGCTGCAGGTGGGCACTTGGGCCCACTGATCCAGTCCAGCCGCAGCAGTGGGCTCCCCAGCCAGAATGGCAACTAGGGGTGCAAGGGTGGGGAGCAGACCCCGGACCCCAGTTCACCCGGAGACTGCCTTGGGGGTGGGGGCCAGGCAGGCCACACACCTGACTGTGATGAGGCTGAGGTATGTACGTCCCAGAGGCGGCCCGAATCCGGCACCGACAAGGACCGGCTCATCGTCGGGAGCAGGTTCTGGTCCCCGCCTCTGAGGAGCAAATCGTGGATTCTCAGGACCCCAAATCCATCTCTGGTCTGCCCCCGTTCCCTACCCTGTATCCTGAGGGCTAGCATGCGCCACGCACCTGGGGGGTTTGAGCGCCTGGAGCTGCTGCAGGAATGCCGTGAGCTGCTGCTGCTGCTGCGGCGGCGGCGGCGTCAGGTCCCCCAGAGCTGCCTTTTCTCGGAGCGCGCATTGTGGGAGCTGGCGGCTGCAAATGGGACAGTGGAGGTGG